AAATAAAATTAAGAACTAAGTACATAATTTATGCTTCTTTTCAAATGATTATGGCAAACTATTTTAGTGCTATTTTCATACGAGAGAAAATGCCTATGCTGAGGACATTTTAAGGGTTGGTTTGACAGTTAAATATCGCAAAGCACATTAAGGGCTATTTACTTAGGGGCAAGGATACCTTCATGAAGGGCTTTCTAAGGGAAACAGGGTTGTCCTTGCATATAACACATTGGGAAAGTCATGAATATGCCATGCAACCAGCCTGTTCGTCAGGATTTGAACCTTGGTCGAACTACCAGCATTCAGGGGTCTTAAATCACTTGGCCACCGTTGGGTGGCATTTTTAGACTGGCTGATATTCATGATACAGAAAGTAGAAATCCACAAAAACTCCCATATAGGCATTTTGTTGACCAGTATTTGAATTCAGGTTGATCTATTAGTATTCTGTGGACTTAACCACTTGATTAATACTCGATACACCATTTTTAAATCAGTCAGTATGTTACATTATGCACATACTTTTATAATTTGAAACAAATGACAGATTTACTATAAGACTCGCTACAACTCGCTATGTCAGTTTGCGTGAATACCATTACCTAAACATTAGACTGTGTTTCTGCAGAGTTTAATGTAATGTGGCACAAATGAAATGAGCTGATGAGTACATGAATATGCTAGGAATATATAAGTACTAGTCAATAAAATAAAATCATAATTTACTAATGCATTAAGATAGAGGTAGTTAGGACAGATGATGTTCTGACTGACTGCTCGAGACTGGCTTGAAGTAATGAGACATAGCCCTTTTGATTCTCAAACTTTTCATCATTAATTTTGAGAGGTGTACATTTAACTTAATTTGGAGGTTAGGTTAGGTTATTTAATTATGGCAAAGCCTCGAGGGCTATCTGCCTAAGGGAAGGGATGTCTTCGCAGAGGACTTTCTAAGGGGAACTGGCTCGTATACAAGTTACACATGGGGAAAACCATGAAAACACCCACGCAGCCAGCCCATTCACGGGATTCGAACTTCGGACCAAACTACCAGTGTTCAGCAACTTTACCGCTCGGCCGCTGGTGGACCTTAATTTGAAGATAAAAATTCTTTTAATTGTTGCTACAAATATAAATTTGTATTTACACATATTTTTTCTACAACACTATTACATTTTAGACTATATTTCATTCTTAATGGAATGAAATACTATTATTTTTCATGTGCTCGGAGTAGTTTTAAATTGAATAAGGTGTTTTCATTATTACATTAGAAACAAAACGTAAATTTATTTGATTATATTTAGTTAACAATTAAAAAATCAAAATCGTGTATTATTTCTTTTATATTTACAGAAGCTTTTTTTGAAATGTTTTCTAAAACATGAGTGGCTTTCCAGCTTTCTTAGATACCTTTTAAATTAAAAATCTGATTCACATTATAACTGAGCTTTCTTCAATTTATTTCAAATGTAACTTTTATTTTAATAGTTTAATACTATTGCTTAGTAATATGTTTTCTGTACAGCTTATGTTCTATGGAAGTTGAAAAAAAAAATAAATTAGCATTTTTTAGGTGAGTATTTGTGACCCATATTATTACAAAATGTAATTTTAACATCAGAAAATATTTCCTCACCAAAATTTTGTTATGATTCATTCATTTTAAATATATTCTATAATTCTGCACATTCTACAATAGTCTAAACATATATTCTGAACATATACTTAAAAAATTCTTCTGAGTTGCCTTGAACATATCTCAAATATGTGTGCTTTTGAGAATGGTTTTTCAGATGAAAATGGCCTATAAGTACATCACACACAATGAAAATCATCGAAAACCCAATGTGGCCTGTTCATTCAGTTGCTGAGAACAGAACCTGGAATAAATTACTATAGTTTCTTGGCATATGATAGCCTGGCATTTTAAGATATGTTCACTGCCTAAATTTTTTTATAGGGCGAAGAAACATGCTGTTTGTGCTCTATTTAGCTCATATACTCACATGAGCTTAACCAAGTAGTTGCGGTAACTGAATATGAATAATACTTGACAAGGTTTCATTTCTAGTAGAAGGAGCTGGCTGTCTTTTAATTTTTATGGTTTCCTGTGATTGTATAGTCACGAAAGAATGAAACTGCTAATGCTTAGTTTTAAATTACCTTAATTAAAGCCTCATGAGATAAATCAAATACAACCCTATATATTTCTGACAAAAATCATTCCAATTCTAACACTAGCACAGTCAAAGATAAAAAGAATATGTTAAGTAACTGGTTTTTAAATACAGTATTTCAATATTTTTATATGCTCATTTATAATGAATATTTAATTGAGAATAAAAATGCTTATATAAATTTTTCAAGTCCTCTAGTACTGTGAGGGGTTTTAACTGTCTCTCACATGTGTAACACAAGTACAAGCCATTATTACAGAGTCAACCATGAAGGCATTAGGCAGATAACCCTTGTATACTTTTTGTAACAAGGTCATTCAAGTCCACCAATATTTCAGGCAGTTCCTTATCAAAATATTCTTGAAATTTATTGCGTTTAAATTCTTTTGGTAGTTTGCTTTTAATGTCAATTTTGTCAGTTTCCCTAATTTAATCAGCTTTTCACAAACATCAACACTTGGAACAGTGGTCTGAAACTGGTGGCTTCTATGCAATTTTACATGGCCTATGAATATATTTCAACTACGCATTTGTTTTATATACAGAGCTAATAATTTCAGAGACACAGCTTATGCATACGACTGAGAGTAACAGAGCTTATGTACATTACTGAAACTGAATGGAAAAGAAACTTACAGTTTGTATTATGCTATAAAAAAACATATAATAAAAATCCCAAAATCTCTTTTGGTGAATGAATATGGACAAATTTGATATTTCTTTCAAAAGGGTTTTATAGACTCATGTCTAAAATTATCTTTACGTGCACAAAATCATGGATTTCTTGGCAACAGTGAATTATAATTTTATGAATATGAGTGGAATGATACATAACACATACAGACAAAGGAAAAAATTCAAGAACACTGCTCCTGATATAAAACTGTAGCATGAACCAAAGATTGCCATATGTTAAAAAGAGAGTTCAGAAGGGGGATTAAGATTTATGAATTAAATATGGAATGTAATACCACTGACTTTTACATACATATGACAAATAATGTTAACCATAGTTTGGGGAACTAAATTCCACTTTTCCAACAATGCAAACTTAGGGCATTTACACCTTTAGGAGGAGGTTGTCACCATGCAAGTACTTTTCCAAGGTAGTCACTTCCTTGCCAGGTTAAGATCAGGAGATATTGCTCACTGCAGTATTTGCTCAATGTGAATGAGCATTTTCATCTATAAATAAAAGTCAAATGCATATGCAGCTCTCAAAAGTCTTATATAAGGTTCTAAGACTTAATTCAGATATCTTTGGTTGGTCACATTTCAGCTGCTGAAATCATATAGGGATCCATCGATCATCCTTCCTTCCCATACCATCACAGCAGCATTACAAAAAGGGTCACGTTTTTTAATGTTTGAAGTAAGCTATTGCATTTCTGACTCCCTCCAGATGTAAGCATATTTAGAATTTGTTTACCAAAGAGTTGAAGGTAGAACTAAACCTTCGACACACCGGTAAACAGAACATGGGACCACTGGTGTTCATTCCAGTTCCGATGTTTTTGCACCAATTAAAGCGATCTCACTTTTGTTCTGCGAAGGCATTGAAACACACATCCTTGGCTTTCTGGCATAAAGGGCTTTTCCATCAAGTCTTTTGTATACAGACTGTCGTGGTACAATACTTGCAGTGGTAGCTGAAAGCTCTGAAGTTAACTGCCAAGCAGCAGACTTCTGTTATGATGGCAGTTATTGCCAGATATCAATCTTAAGATATAATTATCTGTTAAATCCAGACCTCCATTCATCAGTTCCAGACTTATGAAATTGTTTTCACTGCATAAAGATTGTCCGTTTTGAAATATTCACACATCTCACTTCTTCCACGATTGCTACCCAGGCGGTATAGCGGTTAGTGATGCTGATTGCTCTGGGTTCAAATACTGGAGAAGGAATGGATGTTTGTAAAAGCTTTGATTTGCATATCAGAAATTTTTTTTATCACTTCTGATTGGATGTAACTAATTAGGCTTGTCTCTCACATATTCCTAGCAAAAATGGATTACATATCAATTGGATATTTGATGAAATATTTCTTTTTTTGTGCATGATGAATTTGGATAAGTGTATTAAATAAATTATTATTAGTTAAAAACAGTACACTTCCCTAAACAATATATTTTGTTCACGCCATCTGTCTGAATGTGCCACAATCAGAGCCAGCAAAAGTAAATTAACCAGAAAAAACTACAGGGACATGAAATAGGAATAGGTCAAGACCAAAAAAATCTGATCTTGTTAGCAAACAGAACTACTATTTCAGTAACTTTTAATGGGGCTTGGTTTCAGCCACCTTTTCTTGGAGTTAAAAACTGTAAGTATATTAGCAACCACATGCCAGTTACATGCAACTAATTTTTTGCTTTTCAAGGATTAACTGCAATCTGTTAAGGTTTCTTCACACTTAACTTTTAAAGCTTCTTCAGAGGGGACTGTTAAGCTTCTCCACTTTCAATCACATAAAAACTAGCTTTACCAGCATTTTGATGTTTCATTTGGAAAAACAAAAAGATTCACTCCACAATACTTTAACATGCAAAAAATTGATAATTTCATTCTCATGTAGTAACAATGAAATTTAAAAAACAAATCTTAATTCCACTCTGTTTGTTAAGAAGCATTTACAGCATGCAATGGAAGGATAAGATATATCTAACAGCATTCATAATTCATTACTTAATTTCTAGTTACCTTCATGAAAAGTATGATCAATCAGCAAATCAGTGCACTTCAGGAAAAAGAAGAAAACAGCATTTATAAGAAATACAAGAATAAAAATTACATGGAAAAAAAAAACAAATGAAATACCTGAGGCTCAACATCTAGTATGGCTATTTTGTTATCTTTATGTATCCTTCTTATGGTTTCCAATTTAGTTCCATACATTGCATCTTCATGAGTACCATATTCTAAATATTCATTGGCAGTGATATCAGACATCATCTCTTCTTGAGAAACAAAATAATAATTTCTCCCATTTTCTTCCCCTGGTCTTGGTAAACGAGTTGTGTCTATTGTCACAAAACAATATAATTTAACACATAATTATTTTATCACAATATACACATTTACGTATATTAGATCTCTACTACTAATTTCTCAATTTTGTTAAGTTTCCTTGATTAATCAATTAAGCAGGTGAAGGCTTCCTGCCTCAGGGAAGAGAAGACTTTTGATAGCAAACTCATTTGTACTCAAATTGCATAGGAGAAAAACAATGTTCAAGGAACTAACTCGCTCACTTGTGTTCCAACTCATGCCCAATTACTAATATTCAATACTTTTATATCCTACGGGTCACTGGTGAATTTCCAAGATTTAAAATAACATTTTACCGTTTTCTTTGTTCACAATTTTATATTTTTATTTGCATTTTACTCATCTTCTACACAGCCTGCATAATTATCTAGTAAGTTACTTTTTCATGTAATCATTATGTATACTACACATAGTCCCTCGACCTCAATATAATGGAACTGATATAGTCTGTTTTATAGCATTCAATCTAAAATCAATGTCCTCCACCGGCATCTCTCTCAGAACTTTTACAATATTTGCATTAAGAATAGTACAATATTCAATATTCAGTGCTTAATATTAGCACATGCACGATTAGATTCCCAGGCAAATCCAAGCTGTATTATATGCTAAAGGTGGTCTTATGTCATATTAATAACAGATTCCTTATAAATGCAGGGTGTTTCCATTATATTGTAAAGCACCTGTATGTATCAAGTCCAAAAGAAGACAGTATGGAGTTAACTCTCATTAGATACAAGAAGGGAAAAAATTATTGGTAAGCAAAACTACAAAAAGGAAAGATTTGTTGATCTGAAATTGAGGAATACCTGAACACTGTTCTTGATATGTTGAAATACATAACACCACACAGTGCTTAATAATAATTTACATTACATATGATGATATCTGCATGCCCGTTTCAACATTTAAAACAATTTTCAAATTTGTTAGTATATAAACAATGGCAGCCAACTCAAACATGAGTGTATTACATGTTTGAGGAAACATGGATTTACATACTTTATAACAATAATTTTATCATTTAAATTTTTTTTTAAATTTGCTAAACAGGCTCCCTCCTCATAACACACTTCTTTTATTATTATATATGAACAGTACCTAGGAGCTGTAAATATAGCCAACTAAATATTTCTCACCAATTCACGAAAAGCCAATGAAATGGCAACTATTTGTAGGGGTGCAGATAATCAGAAAGTATGAGTACATATATTCATATACACTCATGTCCATAAATTAAGGATAATGCAAAATCAGGCAAAGGAAGAGTTAGAAGCAAAACAAATTTGACTTATTTGTAAAGCTTATTTATTAAACAAAAGGTAAAGAGCAAAAAAATGATGCTATATGTTTGATATTATTAAAAAAATTAGCGATTTTTTATCCTGGAGCAAATTACAAAAAAAAAAAAAAAAAAAAAAAAATTACATTTTTGATATGATTGTTAACCCTCTGACTGCTCAATTTGTGGACCGAAATCGCTTAAAAAATTGTGTAAATTTTTTTTTTTTTTTTTTTTTTTTTTTTTTTTGCAAATTTTAAATCTATATATATTGGAGAATTGAAAAATGCATTATTTCTATATAGAAAATATTTTTTATATAGATTTTTTATCATGAGAAACTAAGTTGCCAGAAATACCAATTTTTAAATGTTATCACCAAAAAAATTTTTTTTAAGTAAATTTCAGTCGAATTACAATTAATTTCTATTTATTGCAAAATATAAAAGGTAGAATTATAAAATTTAAGAAAATATAAAGCACTGAGGAAAAAATACATTAAAAATGCAGTTTAGTATGATAGAGTTCAAAACGGGGTTCAAGGCAAAGTCCAACAGTCACAGTTTTTGCACGAGATTCAATAAATCTAATTAAGAATCAATTTAATTATTAATTTTGAAAAATCTAATTAATAATTATTAATCTAATAAAAAATTAATAATTCAATAATTCAATAATTTAATTAAATAATAATAATATAATCAAGATAATCACTGCATGTTTTCAAGCGGCCACTTCTGTAAGAAAAAAGCAGCAAAATGTCGTGTTTGAGAGGTAATACCACATGCCTTCAAACGCCCCAATTTAGCAGACAACTAACGATATTTGTTGTCCAAAACGTAAACCAAACGTCTAATACTGTATATAATTTATTTCAGTGGTCAAATAGGGAAAAAACGGGATGCGCTCATCAATAAAGGAAGAAAAACACATGCCTACGGAAATCGTGGGATGAGCAGCCAGAGGGTTAATACACAGTATGTCTCCCAGATGATGTAATACAGTCCATACAACGCCTAGGCATGCTCAGTATCAAATTATCGATCTGATCTTGGGGGATATTACACCACTCAAAAAGCAATGCTCTCCAAAGTTCTGGTAGACACGTAGGAGGAGGTTGACGGGGTGCAACTCGTCGGCCAAGCATGTCCCACACGTACGTGCTCTACTGGATTCAAGTCCGGTGAGAATGCTGGCCAGTCCATACGGGTGATATCCTCTGATTGAAGGCATTCACTTATGATGTTTGCACGGTGAGGACGGGCGTTGTCATCCATAAACACAAATTGTGCGCCCATGGTGCCCCGAAACAAACGTACATGTTGTTCCAGAATGACGACCCGATAGATTTGGCTTGTCATGGTTCCAATTTGAACACGCAGGTCAGTTCTGGAACCCAGAATAATTCCACCCCAAACGAGCACTCCTGCACCACCGTAAGTGTCGTTCAATGATGTTTTCTTGGTAGTAACGGGTACCTGGAGTTCTCCATATGAAAGTCCGGCGAGAATCAGACTGTAAGCTAAACCTGGACTCGTCGGAAAACATCACACAAGCCCACTGATGCGGTGTCCACAATGCATGCTCTCTACTCCAGGCTAACCGCAGGCGACAGTGAGTTGCAGTAAGTGGAAGGCATCTGACAGGTCTACGAGCATATAGACCAATCTGCCCTAAGCGTCTGTACACGGTCTGCCTTGAAATTGTCGTACCAGTGGTTGAAGAGAGCTGACGAGACAGGTCTGAGGCTGTGCTACGCTTGTTTTTTTTTGGCAGTAACTGCGAAATACTGATCCTCATTCAGCGTTGTAGCGTCTACTCACATTACCATCATCTTGGAATCGTTGCCAAAGCCTGGAGATGACACTCTGGGCAATTCCAAGTTCGTCTGGTACTTCCAGTGGGGTACGCCCACATTCCAGACGGCCGATAATTCTACCACGTAAAAAATCATCCAAATGCATCCTTTGTGTCATAACTATTCAGTTTTTGCACTGAAATGCTTATAAAGTGCCTGCGAACAATTTTACTTCTTTGCCTGTACTCCATATATATCACTCTCATCATTGTAATGTACCATCGGTGTCATCTGGTTACTTCCTGAAATTTGCATATGATTCTTGAAGATGTGTGTAGTGATGTTACAGGTGATATATTTATTTTAGAGTTCGATTTCTGCTTGACTCCGAATTATCCTTAATTTATGGACATGTGTGTGATGTTTTCTACACATATGGGCTTCCTTTCACTACCTTTAGACAGTTAATGCAACATACTTTTCACCCTATTTTTTGACAGAAATTAGTAAAAAAAGAGGACACATATTAAAGACAAATATTAAATTCAAATATTGCATCTTTAGCAATTAAGGGATGTGATGTAGGTTTAAAAAAATTAATATTTCCCTCATTTTCAGAAGTCTCTTCGAAACATTTTCTCTAGATAAATGTTGTACTTCTAAATGTAAAAGATGTTCATGTTCACTACCCCCTCTAAGTACAAAAATAATGTATGTAATATCTGAACTAATAACTAACAAATAATCACTGACTGCATAAAGAAAGTTGTGTCACCACGAAATGTTGACTAGTATATGGTAGTAGACCCTAGCAAAGTTTTCCCACTATAGTGCTGGCTTGTTGTTATCACTTTTATATAAAAACATTGGTTGAGTCACACCTAATACAGTTTTGGTGGCACCACAAATAACATTAAAATGGGAACTAAAAAATTAATAAGTTTCAGTATAATGTGTTGTCCATTACAATGACAATAAAACTTCAATAACTAAATGTCTATATCATCTATTGACAAACTACACCAGTGAACAATTGTTAAGGATGGATGAGAATAGCAGTGATAGCAGCCACAAAATGAAAGTTAAGAAAATGTGCAAATTAGCTTAAGTGCGGGATACAGTAAGACGTGCATACGCAAATTTTGGATTGCCAAAGTTATTCATCATATGATAACGCTCATAAGAGATATAAAGGATTTGACGTGTGTTGACTTGTTGTTCAAAAGCAAAATTTACCAGGAAAGAACCAACTAAAATAAAACTGCAATTTTTGGTGTGTTTTCATGACATCATTCAGATGATTTTATGCATGGTCGTATTATTGGCAAGATTACAGGACAAAAAGTAACAAATCAAACTAGGGAGTTCCACATCAGCCACAGTGTTGTTTCAAGGCTTTGGATAACATTTTAAACAAATGGAATGTGTAGCAGACATCACAGAGGAGGTTATCTTCACAATACAATGTCTGCAGAAGTTAGGTACATAGTGCTATAAAAAAAAGGTACTGTCACAGCACACCTACTGAAGTAGCAAATCAGTTACTTGCAGCAACTGGTAAGGGGATCTCCTGAAAAACTGTAACCAAAAGTTAGCATCAAAAACGACTATATGCTTGCCCTGTTCTGTGCATTCCATTTTCTACATGACAACGTTTGCAATGGTGTTATCAGCATCACAATTGGAAAGAAGACGACTGGGCTTATGTACTTTTCTCAGATGAGAGTAGACTCACTCTACCATCAGATTATACATGCCAGTTGATCTGGTGTGAGAGTAGTACTGCATATAGCCTGGTAAACATACAGGAAAGTGACCGGTACCCTACAGGTAGTATTATGGTATAGGCTAGGATCATAATCAAAGACCATACGTCCCTGTAGGCATTTCCA